ATTGAGAGTCTGGGAGAGTCCAACCCAGACATTGATCTCTTTGAGTAAATTCAATTCAGTAGGTTGTTTCCCAGAGTATGAAAACAGGCTTGACTTCAAAATGTGTGTCTTAATACAGGAGTTTCCCTTTTTGAATTGGAATACTGAAATAAATGACATTTTCAGTGATTTGCTAAGTTCCATTTATTCGATCTGTGCTGCATGAACATAACAACAGGCAGCTGATGCCTGCAGAATCTAATAACACCATCTTTTTCCACCGTCTGTGAATGGTTAGACTGTGACAAAAAGCTGCACTGAATTACACATTAGCCGTGCTTCCAACAGGCCTGCCAACTGCTCTGCACAAACTGGCACAGTCCAGTCCTAACAGCTGGTCCTGCCACCAGCTTCTGCTCCACTGGATCGCAGCATGTGGGTACTCTGAAGCACTCCATATCTGCAGTTGGGGGAGTTTTAGAGAAGAAATATGGCATTGGGGCGCTGGCTGAGAAAAGACTAAGCAGTTCAGGAGTCTGCCAGGAGGGGGCTATCATGGATCAGCTTAGAGGTCTCTTCACTTTGTGAGATTTTAAATAAGCAGGAGTTTGGTTGCGACTACGTATCCAATGCTTTTCTTACATTTTTGTTTGCATAAAATATTAAATCTAGCTTTAATTCAAACTTTAGTTTTATGGGGAAAAGCCTGCTGTCCTTCTGAGCGCATGCTGCAGGATGATTCACTCTCTGTGACCCTCATTCCCATCATGCCATGTGGAAAATGCCATCCTGCAGCGCACAACAGCCTCAGGTCATGATCGATCGGTTCCACACCTCTAATGACAACAGGTCATTTCTCCCATTGCTGGCCCCGCTGCCACGCGTCCAACTCCCCGTATGATGCACAAGATTGACCGCTTTGATTAGCTGGTGTCTGCTTTTCTTTTGACACCCCCATTAAAACCAGCAGGAAGCAAATGAAAACACAGTTACTGTCAATGTTGCTCTGGAGCGAGATCCACTGAGTGAAATCCAGATGAACACACTTCAGTTTGGTGCTCAGTTCATACTAATGTGGCATCTTAATTGAAAATTAGCTGATACTGTTCTCTGAGAAGCCAGAGCCTCTTCTGCTTAATATGCTCAATTTGTATGAGGCTTTATGGTGCTTATTAATCTGTTCTAAAGCCATTACTTATGGTTGGAGAAGTTCTGCTGAACTGGTTGATTTTTAAAGACTTGTGTCTCATGCACAGAGCATGCTCAGTTCAGAAAGCTGCAAAGGAAGCAAAGAAGCAAACAATGACATTGACCCTGCAGCTCTGGACTGAATCTGGAACACTGTTTATCATACCTTATCTCTGCCAGGCATGAGTACATTCATTCATTCCATCTTTTTTTATTTTGTAATAAAATTTATTTATTTGTTGTAGATCATTCCATCTTCATTTCTTACTTATTTTATATTTATACTTGTAATGTACCGCTACTTGTTTGTTGGCTTGTTTATGCTATGCGTTATTTGTTTTATGCTTTCATTCATTCGTTTAATTAAGTGTTTTTCCACCCCCCCTTCATTCTTTGATTCTTTGGATCTGTTCTTCGGTTCTTTCTACTTATGACTCCTTTAGTCCTTCACTGCATGCCACTTGTTAGGGTCCATCACTCACTCCGGACCACTTCCTCCAGTGTCAGGGTAATAAAACCCCTAATCATGCAGCCCTGGAGAAAGGATGAAACCAAACAAGCCTTAAATGGCTACCCTCCTTGTATTTTCCTGAAATAATTTGGCCTCGGTGCGTCTGTCTTGAGAAGATTCAGATTGTTTACTTTTAATAGAAACTGTTGAGAGCAGCATATTGCCATAATTGCTTTAGAACCACAGTCTGGTGGTGCTGAAAGCCACAAGATTCCTTGGGAATAGCTGCAAGTTGATTCTCTGTCTCTTCCACTGACACTGATTCCCTGTCAGCATAGCAACACAGTGAACAAGCCGCCTGCATGGAAACTTAAAAGCCATGTTTTAGGCTCACAGGACGAGAAAAAGCCCTTAAAGGTTAAGTGATCTCATGACTCCGTGGCCACACTCAAAGAGTATTTATATATCACAGATTTCACTGTGCAAAGGCCATCCTTTTATGCAACTCCCTCGTCTTCGTGAGAATAGCACTGCATATTGAAGCTCTCAGAGTTAAATGTCTTGCTGTGATATAATGAGGTGCATTAAAACACAGCCTCGGCTCTCATTAGCAGTCATTCTCTGTTCTGATATCAGGGCCTCTTAAATGTCAGGGCGGTTGGAAGTTCAGGGAAGCCTTCGCTAAGAGGTTGTAACATCAGGGGAACCACAAAGACGAAAATTTTCCGAAGCTTTCATTTCACATTTAGCTCCTAGCAAGTTTTCCTGCCTCCTCGACTTCACAGTTTGTCAGGCTAGACGAATGTATCTTCATAAAATTTTATCTGCCAGACCAACACAAAGAAGAGCTTAATTAGGAAGTGGAAGAAAAAAATGATTAAATTTAATTCAACTTCAAAAGTACTTTATTCGTCCCAAATAGAAATGACATGTAGCTCATATTAACTCGAAATTCTTCAAAAAGTTATTGTGGATGGTGATGGCTGTGGACAGGAAGGATCTGCTTTTTACTTCCATTTCCCAAAGTTTGTGTCACTCAATCACATAAACTATCAAATAGATAAATATTTGTGGTTGACCAAATGTGGAAAAAAATAAAATAAAATAAATTTATAAAAAATGAGGGGACATGAATCATCTAAAACAGATATGCTTGGTCATATATGTGGAGGAAAGCCAGCTTTGTTTTGAGCCGGAAGATAAATTAGCTGAAAATGTTCCATCCCAGTGGGAATCCTGGAGCTGGGGAGGCGCAGTGATGAGTGAGCAGAGAGCATAATGAGACATGACAAAAGCCATTTAACCATGAACAGGTGGCATACTGATGTTAGTGGCAATTAAGTGTTTAATTGACCATTTGTGATTGTTTGATTTACAAAAATGACATTTCGGCAGAAATGGAAAAAAAACCCGACCTGAACGATCCGAGGACGAGTGAGATATTTGGAAAGAACAGCAATAGTACAAAGCTGTTGACTCTGCTGAATCGCAGCAGGCGTTTGGCCGTGTCCGTAATAGATTTTAGAGAGAATAAAGAAGAGGGCATGGATTTTTCTCTCTTTTTTTCCCCCTGTAAAGTATGGCAGACACAAACAACATATTGACCTGCTTGCTGAAAACCAAAGTGGGGAAACTTAAGCTTGCATGAGTTGATATTTGGAACACTTTAGAGGCAGCAGGTGTAAGTTTTAAATACCAGCAGCACTGGCATTCAATCGCCTCCTCAACTAAAACCCAATAAGTCTTCTTGTTTTGGCTGCATCATCACTGCAGAGGTAAAAAAGTCTAGCTCTTTAAACATTTCGTGCTGCACTCTGTGCTGTAATATCTTTGTGTTTAAAAACAGCAATGATGGAAACCTGGGTGGATTTTTCTCAGATTTAGCCCAAGGTAGAAATTGGCTTTCATCAGCTTGAAATATCTGAGTGATCAGTTGTCTGCTATCAAATACTCAGTTCAGATTAAGAATTTCACAAAGCACTTTATAAATAAATTATATAAACTGGACAGTTTGGCAAATTTACTGAAAGGACAACATGGCGATGGCCAGGCAGGCTAACATGAGGCTGACCGCAAAACTAGACCAACAAGGACTAGTTTTGTTCTACATGTGACAACAGTCTCCTCTACTTTCCATGTGTCTAGGATTGTGAAATAAGTACCTGCTAGAAACCTGGAGATGAAGAGGGATTTTATTTTTCAGAATGATAGCGAGTCCAAACGTGCTCCTCACATCCGAAGTCATTGTAGAAAGATGACACAAGTGAAGAACAAATAAAGTTTTGCCATGGCTGAGCCAGAGTCCAGAAATAAATTCAATTGAAAATCTGTTCGGGTTACATGACAGGGAAATATTACCAAGAAGAGATGGAGCGTTACTAGACTGCAACCGAAGGAGAATGAATGCTAAGATTGAATCAAAAGGTGCTTTAGGAAAGTAGTGGTTGAAAGGTGGCATGATTCTGTAAGGTTATTGCTTTTTATTTATTTTTTCTTCAAACTGATTTTCGGCTGTCATGGACACAGACCCCATAACGCCGCTTTTTACTGCAAGGAGATTTTTAACATAAAATGGAAATAACTTGACATGCATGTAAAGAATACCACCTGTCGGAACGAATTGATAGTTAAATATAAAATACTTTTATTTGAAAGAAAACATTCACGCTGGGTTAAAATGTCAAAGAACCGTGTGGGAGGAAGTACTATGAAGGTGGAACATGAGGGTGGGGACTTCTCTTTTTATGAAACTGAAGTTTTGTGGTATATGGATGAAAATAAAAACACTTCCAAAACCTTCACATGTTTGTTAGAAAGGTGGAAATAAAGATACATTTTTCCAGCATCTGAGTCCAAGCATACACCCAAATCAATAAAAATTGGCTTCATGAAAGGAAAATTGCAGTTTTGGAATAACATAACTGAGTGCAGTGATAACTAACTAACTAACAGTACAGGAAGGATGACCTCCCAATATAATTGAGTAAAAGTCTTTAAAGACAAGGTGCCCATGCGGTTAGACTCCTACCCAAGCAATAAAAGCTGAAGTTAAACCAAAAGCTTTACAAATAAGGAGTTGTACATGCATACTTTGCAGCTGGACCATTGCTTTTATTTCTCCATTTTGCAAACGTTTGTTTTTTTTCTGTTAAATAAATGTTTTGTAAATAATTAATTGAGTCTGCACTTACATAATGTTTCACTCCCATTTATTTATAATCAGTGTAGGAGGAAGACAAAACAAAATCTTAATTGAACGCCTGCAGTTTGCACATTATCCATCAGGGGGCGATAGACAACTCTCACTTTCCGAGTTCCAAAACACTGAAACTCCCTTGTCTCTCTCTCTGGTTTTCTTTTTTTTTTTTGTATGGAGTATGGATCCACTTTGGGAAAGTCGGGACACGCTGTCCGTGTTGTAAGTTTGCAGGAGACACCACCGGGAAGCCGTGAGCTCGTTTTTTATCTCCCGAGTCCGGAACGAATCTGAAACGGGAGGGCAGCGGGTCAAACGTGAGCAGTGGGTTGTAGTTGGGACCGCAGAAACATCTCGGTGCCAAAAGAAACCAGTGAGGGAGAGAAGCGCGGAAGAGAATAGCGGCTGTAAATCTTCACCGCGGTGTTTTGGGCGCGTGCGCTTTTGGATTCGGCACAAAGTATCAGAAACGTGACGTTTAACGGAGGTTGAATGTAAACACGAGCTCCTCTGTTTTCTTTTTTTTTGTTCCCGCTGGACATGTTTCCGCTCCCTGTGAGCGACGTGTAGGCTGTGGACTGAGCTCCTGTTCTCCGCCTGCTCTCTGTCTTCACTTCTCTGCGTAATTTGATTTTTGTGCTAAAAAAAAAAATAATAATAATAAGTTTGCGTTTCAGCACGCCTAGTTGTGACGAAACGTAAAAATGCAAATGCGGTAAGTGACACCGGGCTTTGTTTAGTGTTAAACGAGACTTCAGTTTGGATCATCTGACGAACCGCTGCATCCAGCTGTTCGCTTTTTGTTTGGGAACTGGATTTTCTGAAATAAACTTTTTTTTTTTTCTGGGCTTTGAGAATGAAGAGAAGAAAATTCTCCTGAATTTTTTTTTTTTTTTTTTTTTTGTCTCTTTAAGCCTTCATGCCGGGACCACAGGAGAGCTGACATGCAGTGATACAAGCTCAGCGTCTTGCTGCCTGTTAACCTAAACTTGTGACATCACGTCGTTACAGAAGTAACAGTGAATGATCAAGAGACCCAGAGCGCAAAGGAAGCCGACCAGAGTGCCTGCTCGTGCGCCGAGAAACGCGGCTCTTCGCCGGCTGTGAAGCGGTTCCAGGGCTCGGTCAGTTTTAGCCAGGAGAGTCTCCGGAGCAGAGATGGAGGAGTGGAGACAATGCGGGCGGTGGTTGATAGACTGCAAGGTCCTGCCCCCGAACCACCGGGTCGTGTGGCCCTCGGCGGTCGTGTTCGACTTGGCACAGGCGCTGCGGGACGGGGTGCTCCTGTGCCAGATGTTGCATAACCTCTCCCCCGGATCGGTTGATCTGAAGGAGATCAATTTCAGGCCCCAGATGTCACAGGTAAGTCTGTGCACAACAAACTTCAAAGAGATGATGAAGGGATTTGGTTTACGCCCCAGACTCTGTTCTTGATTGCGCACACATTTTGCACTGCTCTATATAGGAGTAAATCTACGTAAATTAGAATATCGCCTGAAACTTAATAAAAGTGAAAGTAATTTCTCATGCACATAGTGATAAGTTTCAATTAATTTTTGTTACATTTGCTGATTAATGCAGATAATATAGCAATAAACCTAACACAAATGTTAGATCATGGCCATGTCCTGGTATTCATAATTATTTGATTGAATGCTGAGTTGGCAGTCGCCCAGCAGGCTGTCAGAGACACCATTCATGAAAGGCCGTTAATAAGGAAGCTTGCTATTGAGAGTGCAGTATCAATCTCCATGTCATAAAGTTTAGTGGAAGGAAAAAGGATGCACAAGCGACAATGATAAATGGAGCTTTATTGGAGCTTTTTCGCTCAGTTGTTCCTTCTACTAAGCTGTTCATCAGTGTTTTTGGACACAGCACTGTGCAAACACCGAGCTTCTTTAGCCATAGTCTTTTAAGGGTTTGACACACTTCTCTGGGTTTGTGTATGCAAGCCACTTGGAGTTTGTGATGCATGCCCATAGCATAATAACAATATGTATGTATGGGTGTGTATGTGTGTGTGTTTAATTGTTCTTCCATAATATTGGTTTATTTTCATTAGTTTAAGCAGCTTTAATTATCAAGCTGAAAAGCAATAAGTGCTTAAAGTAAATAAGCTTTTTGCTGATATCCCATTAGATAATTTTGATTCTCACCTGGCCAGATATCCTTCGAGGTGTTCTGTAATTTGCTTTGTATGCCTTCAACACGATTCCTCCAGAGCTTCCTGCCAGAGCAAGCCCACATCTCGGTTGTTGCAGAACTGTGTTCTGTGATAATGCAATGTGCATGCAGCAATACGGAATTTGCACGATTAAGTTCAGTTTTGTTCTGGATGAAAGAAACAATTAATCACCTCTGCAGGTGTGGGGCATGCTTTGTGTTTGCAGCAGCAGTTTTATCACAAACGCAATCATGTACATGCAAACCTCCAGCAAGGCCTGAGCGTTTCATTGCCATTCACCTGTCTGCCAGAAATGATGCCTCGTCAGCGAAATGATCATGCAGTTTTGCTGCGACTTCAGCATCTTCTCATCTGCTTCGAAGGATGTTAACTCAACTTTATCAACCAAGCCAGTTGTGCAAGTTGGAAAAGATATGTTGCATGAAAAAAGAGGAAGTTGCAGATTTTATTTGTTTAATCATTTACACTGAGATATGGAAGTTGTTGCAGCTTTGGCACCCTATCTAGGCTGTTATGAGGAATAGAGACAGAATACATTATTTTGCAAGCATTTTAAGGACATTTAGAATTTATATAAAGAAAATGAATATAACAGCTCCTATTCTGTTATATATATTCTGTCTAATATATGCTATATATATTAGTATACCAATGCAGAATTGTTTTTTGATTTTGACTTAATTTCCATTTTGTTTGTAATAAAGCTGAGAAACTGTAGCATAGTTTTACTGATTTTTTTTTTTTCTGAATAAGATGTCAAAATGTTGCTTCATAATTTGCCTACTTCAGCAGTAAATGTTAACAGTTAGGAATATAAGTATCTTTTTTTTTTTTTTGTCTAACTGTGGGAACATTCAGGTGACCAACAGAAAGTTGCAAGTAAACAGAAAAAAAATAACAGTAAGAAATTATTTTTATATGAGCAAACTTACAACAAAGAAGAAACAATACTGCTTACTTCAAAATCGCAATGTTACAATATCTGTGCATTTAAAGCAGCATCAGATTACCAGAAATCTTAAAAAAAAAAAAAGAAGATTGCACTGCTAGCAGCAAAGATGTAAACACTTATTGAGTTTGAGTTTATTGGGAGATGTGAGGGTTATAAAGTGTATATGCTCATGGGAGGAACGATATGCTATAATGCTACTTTCTCCACCTCGATCTGTCACTGAAAAACCTCTCAGGTTTAGCAGCAACTTTATGGATGGGAAGGCAGACATTTTTCAAGACAGTATGTTCTTAATCTCTATTTCTGCACAGGACAATTCTTTTTAACTCTAATTCGTTTTAATTCTTTTCAATTGGGTGAAAATCAGAAAATTCTGCAAATTAAAGCTTTTTCATACCATATATGTGCCACATGCATGAAAGATATTTGGATGAAGATGTAAAGCTTTTCATGGATGACTGTGTACCCATGGAGTGACCTTTCCACAATAGGCAAACATGTTCCTGCAAAGAAGAAATTGGGAAGAATAGCCACCCTGATGTATAATTAGACCAACGTGGTTTTATGATTACATTGACGTACCTCCGTTTGTCTAGAGCTTCCCATTCACTTAATCTTGTTTATGCCTCCAACATCAATATGAGGAAGCATTTGGTTCCTCAGGAAGTTAACACGACCGCAGCAGCAGAGTGAAAACTGCTCTGTGGAAAATGTTTCATTCGGCTTTCATTCACTCCCCAACCTGATGTGAATGCCAGTAGGTCTCTGTTGCTGAATGTTGAGTCATCTTTGTGAGGGTTGGCTGGAATTCTGAATAAAAGTTGCCAGTTTGGAGAAAATAGTTTGGATTACTCCCGTTCTTATGCCGTTTCGACTGCAGAGGGAATCGAAACGGCCATCATTCGAGAGCAGCATGTATTTGACGGCGTGCTTGTCAAATATTCTCAGCACACCTTCGCTGACCTGCTTCTGTCACAGTAATGTGTGAATATGTGTCACTTGTCTGTCTGCTTTGCACCAGGGTTCACCGCTCTCCCCTTTGCATAATAAAAAGAAAATCAAAATTTGTATTTCTGGTCATTAAGGTTTAGTATAATGAATGTTCAAGAACTTTTAACAGTTTGATACTTTGATTTATACAATTGAAACTTCAAGAATCCAAAAAACAAATTGAATGTCTCGTATCTTTTGTGACTTCAAACGAGAATACACTCTGAATCTCGGGCTATAAGATGGAAAAGCGGCAATTTTCTGCTTGTGCTATGAGGCACCTGTGCTTCTGCCTGTGCTTTGAGGCAAACTGTAGCCCTCACTTATCAGGGCTACAGCTATGGACGTCCGTGATTACAAGGCGAAGGAGAGGTCTGGATGGCATCCGTTGATCCACCCACTAATTGCCCTCCTGGTCCTTCTGAGAAAATCTGCAGCGAGGGTGGAAGAGGTGTCCTTAGTGACAAATTGGGTTAAACAAAACCCTGGCAGGAGAACGGTAGTTTGTGATTTATGATCAGGAAAAGGTCAAAGAGTGTGTGTGTTCTGATACTTGGAAACACACAACCTGAGTGGCTTAACCAAATGAGAAGGATGTGAAGCAGAGGAGACATTTATCTTGCTTATAGCTTCTTCTGTGAAAGTTTTGTCAGGCTTGTAGCTTCCCATAGTTGATTTAACTTTGGGGAATATGCAAACAAGTGTTTAAAGGAAAAAGATGAACTAAGTGGCAATTTTTAACATGAAGACAGGGACGATGTTGGCAAACCGCCTCCCAGTTAAGAGATTTAAAAGCACAGTCTACCTGTAATTCTTCAAAGGCTTCTTCTCTACGGATGGATTCAGTTTTATGGCTCTTATGGACATGCTGGTTTAATATTAGGCACAGAAATTAAACATTAACAAACTGAAATGATTTCCTTTAACTTTTCCTACTTCTTGTTAGTCATTGACATTAATAATGCTGACAGGTGCCTGTAGTTGGCAGGAATGCTTAATTTTGTCATGAATTTTAGAAGACATTTGTAAAAGACCCACTTTCTATCTGTGGTTTGTTAAAAATGACAGAGCAGGTATACAAACACAATCTGGCTCCCAGTGCAAATCTAGCATCTGTAGAAGCACAACAACAAGCATTACCAGCCATCTAATTAATTCTATTAAAATCTATATTCTGAGGAACTGCAGAGTTACTTATCAAAGTGTGTGTAGGGAGTAGGAGGAGATTAAGATATTTTTATGTTTTTATCTGTGCAGACAGGAGTTTAGCTGACCCTCATTTATATAGCCCAATAAATCCTTCATTGTGTTCTCATCGTTTATTCATCTTCACCTCAAGGTTGTAAACAGAAACCTAATGAGCACTGGTGTTTGCAGACTCTCAGCAGCTCAAATTGTATGAGCTGATAGTGCAGCGCTCGCCTCAAGCTGTGTCTGGGAGACGAGAGAGGGCTTTGCTCTCTGTAGCCTTTTTTGTGTTTTGCTGTATTTTCTTTCCACCTCTCATTCTTTGATATTTTTTTCCCTTCCCCGACCCTGTCAGTGAGGTTACTGTGAATGCCTTTGGGATGACTAAAGCAGATATGCATGTAGTACCATGCTTTTGTTTCCAGTGTGCTTGTTATGTTTGAAATTGCATGTGTGAGTGAGAAACGCTTCAGTACCTGTGTTGTGGCTGTATGCCAAGCCAATCGAGCTCTCTTGAATCCTCCCAGATCTCCGCGGGGCTCCAGATCCCACACAGCGCCTGCTGCTTCCAATCACTGCAATCGAGGTTCTTTCTTTTTTTTGTCCTGCTCCCACCTGACAGATTAGCTGATGACAGCAAGTAGCAAGAACTGATTTGAAATCGACCATTACACACTTGCCTGGCAAACCAGGCTCTTCAAAAGAAATTCTTATCATTATAGCAAATAAGATTACATTTTTTTTTAGGCAGAAAATCAAATTTTAGATTGTTAAAAAAATAACCCAGAGCTCTTTTATAAAACCTCAGCCTTTTCAGACCACGTTCTCCACCTTGTCAGTCAGTCATGTTGCATGACGTCCTTTACAGTTATGGCTCTGCATCAGAAGAGGAAAATCTTTAGCTTTTGATTCAGTTCTGAAATACAATTTTGAAACAAGATATAATATTTCCATTGTGCGTCTGCTAAATAAACAATCTGCTGCAAGTTTGCTACCAAAGCAGATTGTCTGGCTTAGTAAGCAGTTAGCATTTTTTGTTGGCTGCCA